ATGGAGCAGCGCAGGGGGCTCGGGACCCTCCCCTGCTGTGTATTCATGGCCAGGCTGTCCCCAGGGCCAAGGGGCTTGTCTGGCAGCTCAAGGCTCTCTCCAGTCCCTCCCTGGAGGTGTGACCGTGCCCTCCAGCACGTCGCGGGGTGCCAGTCGCTCCCTGTCACCCACTCCAACAAAACTCCAACAGGGAGAGCAAAAAATCCGTGGGTAGAAGGGGTGAGTGTCCCTGTCGTTGGCTGTGCCTCCCTGGGGTTATGGTTGGGTCTGGGGGCTCAGCACTGCCCTGCCCGTGGTGTGTGGGAGCGAGGCAGACCAGGGGTGTCCCTGTGCCCAGCAGAAGCAGGAGATGACGACGCTCACGCACCGAGCGCGGCGGCTGGAGGCCAGCAGGAACACGGACAAGAGGACAGACAGTGAGGAGGATGTGGCTGCAGACAGGGACCTCAACGAGGATGATCCTGATGACTCCAAAGATATCCGTCTCACGCTCATGGAGGAGGTGCTGCTGCTGGGGCTGAAGGACAAGGAGGTAAGGGAGATGTGTGTGGGCAGTGATGTGGTTCTGCCGTGGTGTACCCTGGGTATGAGGCTCACAGAGCAGCAGAAGGGATTGTATGGGTTCCTCTCAGTCCTCTCCAGCAAACTCATCCTTCTTGGAATCATAGAAACATGGGATGGTTTGGGTTGGAAGGACCTTAAAGCTTATCTCATCCCACTTGCCATGGGCAGGGACACCTTCCACCAGCCCAGGTTGCTCCAAGCCCTGTCCAACCTGGCCTGGAACACTTCCAGGGATGGGGCAACTACAGCTTCTCTGGGCAACCTGTGCCAATGTCTCAGCACCCTCACAGGGAGGAATTCCTTCCCAATATCCAATCTAAACCTGCTCTCCTTTGGTTTGCTTGGCACAAACTACCTTCATCTGAGTTCAAACTGAGCTCTGGACATTGCTGGCAGGTATTTCCCCCCGGCTCTGGCACAGGAACAAGAAGTGGCTGGAGGTGAGTGATGCCTTATGGTATCATGTGAGCAAAGATGGGTTTGGTCTTGGCCAGGGTCAAAGATGTGGGGTAAAAGGAGCCTCACCTCGTGTGTCAAAGGGTAAATGTCCTCTTCCCTACTCAAGTGCTCCCTCCTGGCCAAAACCACTAGCTGAAACCCAGGGACACCCTGAGCATTGTTCCTGCTGTGTTAGAAATGAGTGTGAAGAAGAGCAGAGACGGTTTTGGGGGCAGAGGGGGAGGGGAATGGAGGCAGTGGGCTGGGAGCTGAGAGCAGGTGCAGCTGAGCCTGGACCCAGAAATGGCAGAAGCCTTATCTGGCCATTCCCTCAACCAGGCAGGAATGGAGATGTGCAGCTCCAGGCTGGATGGGAATGTCTGTGCTGGGCTTTCCTCTCCCCACGTGTGCCAGGCACTGGCTCTCCCTGGCAGCAGTGGATGGATGCAGAGCTGGTTGTTCCCAGATGGTTATTACCTGCTGGAAAGGAATCCTGGTCAAACAGATTAGTTTGTACTTATCAGCCCAGGAACTTGTTTCACAGCTCTGCCTTGAAGGAGCTGTGGGGAAGGGAGCTGTGCCTTGGGTTGAGTTCTCTGAGTTCCTGCCTTATCTGCATCCACGTCTTGATTTTTCTGGGGGAATCTTTGGCTGTGAAGCACTGTCACAGGTTGCCCAGGGGCTGGAATAGATTTCCCAGAGCAGATGTGGATCTTTAAGTTCTTTCCAACCCAAACCATTCCAGGATTCTATAATCTGTTGCTGCTATTCCTGAGAAGCACCTGAGTAAATCTAGCCCAGGGGAAAGCAACCAGTTGCTCAAGGTGCTTCTTGGGGTGATAATTGCAGAGCCTTCAACACACCTTCTCAGCTCCAGGAGCCTACTTTGGCTAAGGCTGGACTGGATGATCTTGGAGGTCTTTTCCAATCCTCATGACCCCTGTGAGGTTGTCTCCTACCCTGAGCACTGTGGTTGTGAAAGCTGTGGCTTCGTCCTGAGTTTGTCTGGGTTGGAATTAAACCCTGTGAGGTGCTGAACATCCTTTTCCATCAGGCTCTGGGTCTGTGGGTTGGTGTGAGCTGGTGCTGTGCTGTCCCTGATGTGGCTCTGAGCACAAATCCAGCACAGAGCTGTGGCTTGTGAGTGTGACACAGGCTGTGCTTGTCCTGTTTGCCATTCCCAGATAAGGTCTAGGACTTGCTGAGCCTACTAGGAAGTGTCGGGAGAACAAGGCTGTAAGAAAGCAACAAAACCATCATGCAAATAATTTTGGAGTAAATATTTGAGAGCAGCCCAGGAGTGTGGTGGCTTTTCTTCCTGGGCTATGGTTGGTGTTCTTGGCTTGGTTCTTGTGTGCTGGGAATGGCCCTGCAGCCACCAGGAAGTTGGGAGAGCACAGCAGATACAGAAAAAACCCTTGTCCCACTGTTTTTTTTTCTCTCCATCCTGTCCTTCCACATTCCTCCACCTCAAGACCAGAGGCAGCAGCTGAAGGGATCTGACCCTGAGCTGGGCAGTGACTTCTCACAGCTCAGTTGTTCACTCAGGGGTTGGTGACTGGGGGAGAAAAACAAGATGATTTTTGCCAAATTTAATGAGCTCACTGTGATTTCATTACTTCAAGCAACTGATGTGTCTATGTAGGAGAACTTGGCTGCACACCAGCCTGGCACTGGTGACCAGTGTGATTCCAGAGGCTGGAAGTGACCCAGATGCTTTGATTTCAGACCCTTTACAGTTTTAACTTACCTTCCAGGCAGCAAGTTGAAACTTTTGGTCATCTTCACACCCTTTCCTGGAGAACTTGTTCCCAAAGGACATGTGCAGACAGCAGGGCTGAGAACCAGGAGGGCAGGAATAAAAGGTTGCTGTGTCTTTCCTCACAAGGAAGTGAAGAAAGCAAATAGATTTTCATTTCTTTTATGGTTCTCTGTGCTGGAAGAGCTCAGTGTCCAGATGCACTGCACAAACACACACTGGGGACAAGAGTTCACCCACCAGCAGTGTCAAAATGTTCCATGGGGGAGGGCTGTGTGTTCCCAGGCTGTTTTCCTTGGGAAGGGGCTTGCTGGGTAGCAGCAAAAAAAAAAAAAAAGAAAGGGAATGGGGATAAATTGAAAGAGGGAAATTTAGATCAGATATTAGGAAGAAATTGTTCCCTAGGAGGGTGGTGAGACACTGGCACAGGTTGCTCAGAGAAGCTGTGGCTGCTCCATCCCTGGGAGTGTTCCAGGCCAGGTTGGATAGGACTTGGAGCAACCTGGGCTGGTGGGAGATGTCCCTGCCCAGGGCAGGGGGTGGAACTGGATAGGTTTAAGTTCCCTTCCAACCCAAGCCATTCCACGAAGCTCCTGTGGTGAAACAGGTTCTCCCTGGAGCCTGTGCCCCGTAGCACAGTGCTGCAGGTGCTGTGGAAGCTCTTCCCAAGCCTGATGGTGATTTCTTCCTACAACAAGTGACTCCCAGGGCAGGATTGGAGTTGGGGAGGTTTGCTCAAGAAGAGCAGATTTCCTTTCCCCTGTGCCTTGGGCACATCCCCAGCAGGTGCTGCTGGGCACAGCCACCTGCCCAGTGCCAGGGTGTGCCCTGTGGGTGCAGCAGGAAGGGCCCAGCCTGAATTGCTCAATGTTTACAGGAGCTTTGGGGCAGGAGGGGGATGGTTGGGGCTGCCAGGCACGTGTCACTTACAGGGGACAGGTCTCCTCTCCCTTCGGCCTGGATGGCAGATGTGAGCTAGGAGGGCCATGGGGACTGGGGCTGAGCAGACTGGGAGAGGTAGGAGGTTCAGCAAAGCTCAGTCTCATCTCTCTTGTCCCTTTTCCATCCATCCTGTGTGTGTGCCAGGGCTACACCTCCTTCTGGAATGACTGCATCTCCTCGGGGCTGCGTGGGGGCATCCTCATCGAGCTGGCGCTGCGCGGCCGCATCCGCCTCGAGCCACTCTCCAGCAGGAAGAGGAGGCTCCTGGAGAGGAAGGTGAGGCTTTTCAGGTCCTTTTGGGGCTCTGTCCACCTCATCCTGACAGGGAGCTGTGCTCTGGGAATGGAGCAGCAGTTCTGCCTCCAGCCTTGGCTTATCCTTCTCCAGGTGCTGTTGAAGTCGGATGCTCCGACCGGTGATGTGTTGTTGGATGAGACTCTCAAGCACATCAAGGCCACAGAGACTGCAGAAACAGTTCAGACCTGGATAGAGCTGCTTACTGGTAAGGGCAGTTAGGAACAGCATCCCAACTCCCTCTACCCAGCCCTGCTGCCTGTGCCCTCCTGTCTGTCCCCTTGTGTCACTGGAGGCTGAGAGAGTTGGGGCTGTTCAGCCTGGAGAAGAGAAGGTTGTGTGGAGACATCACAGCAACCTTCCAGGAGCTGAAGGGACTCCAGGGAGGATGCAGAGGGACTTGGGTAGGAACTGCAGGGACAAGACAAGGAGTAATGGGGAGAAATTGAAAGGGAAATTTAGATTAGGTATTATGAAGAAGTTTTTCTCCGTGAGGGTGGTGAGACACTGGCACAGGTTGCCCAGGGAAGCTGTGAATTCCCCAGGGAGGTTGTGGATGCCCCAGTGGAGGCTGGGGCTGCCCCAAGGAGGCTGGGGCTGCCCCAACCCTGTCACTGTTTAATCCAGGTTGGATAAAGTCTTGAGCAACCTGCTCTGGTGGGAGATGTCCCTGCCCAGGGCAGAGGATTGGGACATTCCCAATCTGTAGGTACATCCAAGGTTGTCCCATTCCAGGTGCAGAATCCAGCACTTGCCCTTGTCAGTGTCCATGCAGGCAAAGATGTTCCTGGGTTGGAAACAGCCTGAGCACTTGGCCTGGGGGGCAAAGCCACCACTGTCCTGGAGCTGCCCAAGTTCTCCTGTCCCTCAGGTTCAGTAACAGAGTTGGCATCTCAGGGGACACTGTACCTCTTGTGGGGTGGCAATGGTCCCCAAGGTGCTGATGATACTTGTGTGATGAGTTGTGGGTGGTCTCTGCAAGGAGTGGGAGGTCACTCCTTGCCCAGGTGACTCTACTGGGAGTGTCTCCAGGGACATCCTGGGCTGGAAGCAGCCTGAGCACTGAGTTTGGGGAGCAAAGCCACCACTGCCTTGTAGCTACCTAAGTTCTCCTGTCCCTCAGGAGAGACCTGGAACCCCTTCAAGCTGCAGTACCAGCTACGGAACGTGCGTGAACGCATCGCCAAGGCTCTGGTGGAGAAGGGAATCCTCACCACGGAGAAGCAGAACTTCCTCCTCTTTGACATGACCACCCACCCCGTGAGCAATGCCAGCGAGAAGCAGCGCTTGGTGAAGAAGCTGCAGGAAAGTGTCTTGGAGCGTTGGGTGAATGACCCTCAGCGCATGGAGCGTAGGACTTTAGCCCTCCTGGTCCTGGCTCACTCCTCAGATGTGCTGGAGAACGTTTTTGGCAACCTGGCAGATGATAAGTATGATGTGGCAATGAACAGGACCAAGGATCTGCTCGATATGGACCCTGAGGTGGAAGCTGCCAAAGCTAAAGGCACTGAGATGATCTGGGCAGTCCTGGCAGCCTTCAATAAATCCTAAACATCCCCCAAAGGTGCTGGGGGAGGCTCTGCCCCTTGGCACTAGGCATGGAGGTCCTGCAGCATGGGGTGGGCTCAACTTAAGGGGATCAGGTGGTTCCACCTTCCCTTCCCCAGACAGGGTGGGAGGGTTGGAGCTCAGCACCAGCACAACCTCGTGCCTCAGGGGAGAGGTGACAGCAGCTCTTCACTCCTTGCCTCCAGGGGCTTCTTTCTCCAGCCAGTGCAGAGCTGGGGGGTGGCAGAGCTCAGCCCAGAGCTGATCAGATGGGCCAAACCCTGGGAGAAACACTCCTGTGACACACCTCTGTGTGCTGCTGTGTCCAGGTTGTCCATGGATCCCTCCCCCACATACTTTGGGTTGTGTTGGCAGCCTGGATTCCCCTGAGGAACGTGCTGACACCTTTCTGGGATGGAGTGTGGATAACAGAGTGGTTCCAGGGGGGTTTGGCAGCCAGGACCACCCTCCTCCCTGGCTTCCACAGGGGCATCCAAACCTCTTGGCACATTTCCATGGAGGAACAGCTCTGCCAAGACCATGTCCCCACCCCGGGCTGGGCCCCCCATCCCTCACTGCTCTTTCTAGCAAGATGAAAACAAACTGTGACTTATTTTTCTTCACATCCCTTTCCTCCCCTTCTTTATTGTAGCCCATGTAAATGTCTTTCTCTGCAGCACTGGGTCTGTCTGTGTTTCAGTGGCTCTATAATAGGGTTGGCACCTCAGGGTGGAGTGACAATGGGTCCCCAAGGTGCTGGTGACACTCGTGTGATGAGTGGTGGGTGGTCTCAGCATGGAGTGGGAGGTCACGCTGACTCTGCTGGGGGCAAGTCCGGGGACCTCCCGCACGGCAGCCAACGCTGGGATGTGCCCAGAGTCGTCCCCGGCCCCAACCCCGCGGGATGTCACCCCGCGACCCATTTGGGTCGCCCCCCTGTGACTCTCCGGGCTCAGGATTCGAACCGGCGGTCCCGATGCGAACCCACGCCCCTCTGCCCGCCCCCGCGCCGCTTCCTGACTCTCCATTGGTTGTCGCATACGCCACTCAGCGCGCCCCGCCCTCCGCTC